TCGAGACACGAATCGTTTTAAAAGCTGATGGATCTCATGTGGTAGCTGAAACTGTTCTGCAACGAATTGTCAATGACGAAATTTATCCCACATCCCTTTTCTCGAAGAGACTCACCTCCCCACTGAAACATGAAATGGCGCATTTGTCAGGGAACTGCCTCTATCTACCTTGCTGTCAAAAACTTCCGATAAATTTGAGAAGGATGACAGCTCACAATTTTCAATGATCAAACCCCTAATCTTCGCTATTTGAACACACGCAGACCATCATTCCCAGAGGGAAATTTGTCATTTAAACTTTACCGACCAAATTTATTCACCATCGAAATCCGATGCATTGAGGGCATTAGTAACGTTGTTGTCAATGCAGTGTACCTAAAGGTCCAAAAATTTTCTTATTTCGGCACGAATAAATGTAATTCACACCGGACGTGTTTTCTCCCTATAGTTTTATGATAGCTTGGATGATCCTACGAACCATTTCAAACTAGTAGTACTTGCCAAAGGGATTGCTAAACCTCGGTTTAAAAGTGTCCCAATCCGCTACAAGCAAAACAGAATGGTCGGGTGACCTTGCTTAACTTTATTGGTCAAAACGTAGTAAATCTGGTGGGTCTTTTGGCAAATAATTCATACCCAGCCACGTCTCAAAAAACGCTTCTGTGACAGTAAATAGCTATTTAATTATACTCCGTCCGATTACATAGCTCAAAATGAATAACTTTACCAGATTTATTGCAATTCAGTGCTTTGTTTAACTTTAAAAATTTTAAATCTTGTTGAAAATATTCAGCAATAAGATTAAAGGCTGAAAATGTATTAAATTACATCATTTAATAAAAAGCCACCAATTTCTCAAAATTCGAACTTTTGATTCTTTATTTTATAATCAGTGAATCGTAACAATCCTTTCTTGAAAGACAAATAATTTAAACAAAGTAAAAGTGTATGAATATTCTGATGAGAAAATAGCCTATTGTCAACAACTTGGCATTTTGCTGTTTTTGTCGAATTCATGGGAAATACACAGACTGCAACATAGCGTGTTTCATAGTAAACGTTTGCAAAATGATATGTTTAACTTAAAATAAATTTCTGCTTTAAAGAGTAAACGGACTAATGCACGCAATCATTTAAAAGAAAACTCATACGAGAGGCACTGCATATTAAAACAACGCTATCACTATTATCTGAAAATGAAATAATAAAAACTTTATCGTATTAGTGAACAAAATTAAACATGAGAATAATGCTAATGAAACTTCTAAACGAAAATTAGATTGTTGCAGTAATGTCTTAATATAATTCAATACAAATTCCAAATATACGACTCCTCTGCACAACATCGTTCAGTATCTCAATAAACAAGGTATTTCAAGAAGAATTAGATATAGATTTTCATGATTACCTTTACTAGTATCTAACTTATTAGAAGTCCCAGAGGCAAATCGTATTGTCTATTTATCAAAATTTTACTCAAACTAAAGCCAGTAAGGAGCTCATTAAAGCTTTCCCGTTCAAAATAATAGAGTAGATAATGAGGCGACGAAAAATACTAACTCATTTCCTTCATTTTTATATGCAGAAGTATTATTAAAGTGATTTAAAGAAGCATAATTTTAATTTGGCAATGCAACAGAACAAAGTCATATGTCGAACAATATGTTTCAAGATGTCCTGGCCAAAAATTGTTAACAAATTACAGAACGATAAGAGCATTCAACGTATGTAATGCATATCAGCGTTGCAAAATCTAAATGTATAAAAGGAATTGATGTTACTCTTATTTTGTTGACTTAGCATTCAGCTTGGATAGCTTCCGACCATTGGAATTTATCCAACTGATTATTGTTGAATATGAAACAATCATAATATATTTTAAAACCATCTAGAACTTAGGACCACAATTTGCACAAAATTAATACCATTTATGGCCTTAAAGTGGTTTTATTGCGCTCTGCAAGACCTATTAGAATATATCAATTTATATTAAGAGGGTTAATCAATTGTTTTATAAAAATAAATACGCCTAAACGTGAAGCACAAAATAATTCCAGTCAAATGGCTTGCATTTAACTTTATGAACTTTTTCCTGTTAATTAGGTAAACCTAAACGTTTATTAATAGACTACATAATCATTATCGACAGCATAGAAATGATGAGAGTTTAAAATAAAGTTAGATTAACTCGTATATCAGTGATACGAGACTTTTCAGGACTAATATGATAAAAAATTATATTTATGATATTTTTATGTGTATATTAATTGTAGAGAAAAGCTTTTAGAAAAGTGTCAAAACACTATTTAAACTATTTAAAGGTAAGGAATAAAAAATTATTAGACAAAAGGTAACGATAGCAAAATATATAAAGGATAACTGTAATAATAAAACTGCGATTTTCTATATTCTTGTCTCACGTTAAATCTGAAAACAAATAAGTTTTAGAAAATTTATGTCGAATTATAAATGCCAAAAGTTATTTTTGAAGGTATTGATGCCATTTCTTATTGAACAGGTGAATTTCTGTGCTTGCGTGATAAATTTTTACAGAAAGATTATTTGCGAGTGAGACAGTAAGATTCTCAAAATTGACTCTGATTAAAATATCAACGCTGCGTTGGTTGAGAAAATAAATGTGAGAGTATTTTGTTCGTGCGGTAATATGAGTATAAGAATATACTAATGCCAATTATAATTTACACAAATTATTTATGGACAATATAAATAACTACCTAAAATAATCGCACGAAAATTTAGAATCTAAACATTTATTAATGAATTGCTTTCAATAAACATCATCTATTTGTAACCTATCTAATTAGTTTAAACGCACAAAGTTCACAATCTAAGGTCAAATGCGAGCGAGGCTTTCTTGTATATTCTGCCTTACTGCTGTGTGTTTTATTTCCATATTTTCATTTATTTATACTTTGAGCATAAGTTTTTCGCGCCTCAACTACAAATAATTTTTCATGTTTATATAGAATCAGTCTGTTTATAATGGAGCCTCTGGAAACACAATTTGACGATACGTATGGAATGCCAATATTGAGTGATGATCCTATTCAAATTATTGATCTTCAAGTATTTTTAAATCTTTCAAGCTTTAACATATATCTTAGGAAGTTTTTCCAGATGCCGATGAAGCTACTCAATTGGAGTCTTCAAACAATGGAAATCTTGATGCACTCCCTCTTGAGTCTTCTATTGAGCATACAGCCTCAGTCTCTGAACAACCAGATGATCAACTCTATAACCAGTATCTTAGCGGAGAGCTTTCGATCAACGAGTTGATGAAGGAGCTTTACACCAGCTCGAAAGTCCAAAAGCCTAAAAAATCTTCTAGGCCTTCAAATCGTTCTCGACCAACAAATAGTTCGAAAAATCGGAAACCACCTCCAACCGATATGGACGAATCCCCTGAAGAAATGGGTATGGTCTTTTACGTTAATCCCATAAAATTAAAAAAATGTTGCCTATGAAAATACTGTTGTAAATCTGTATTTCTACATTTTTACGCAAAGCTAGAAATTTGTAATATATATATTGAGATCTATTTAGTCAGTATTGCCACGCCGATTAATTGGATTTTTCTTTTTTGGTCCTACCACTTTTATCCGATCAGAGTTCAATTTATCCCTTTTGTTTTACCTTCAAGTCGGCATTGCCTGTGAAATGCCTGCGATGTTTTATTGCTTGTTCAAAATTCTTACACATTGTTTCCATTAGTTTTAGTGACATTTATTTGTTGAATTGTGTGTAATAATAGCGAACAAAAAGTATTGATTTCGGTTTTTAGATTGACTTACTGACTATTGCCTATTTAAGCAAGATATCATGACTTTCTAGTATTTAGTCTTTCAATTTATCTCACATTTCTTCTTAATGATTTTTCTAGTTCATTTTGGTTCCCTGTTGCATGGATACTCGATTCTCTTTCGTGTGTGTGTGATTTCACTTTTCTTCATTAATATTCATTTAACTACTTGCTTTATTTTAGACGTTGGCAGTGATTCCGATTTCACCAAATCAAGACCGAAAAAGAAAAGCAAATCGGGTGCCCCGAGAAAGGCAAGTAGACACATGGTTTCTATTTAATTTTTTTCTTCAGAAATGGGATTTGAAATTTGAGCTGGCCAACTACCTGGGCGAAGCAGAGCGCCATTTAAACAATCAGAATTACGAGAAAACTGAAGAAATTTGCAGAAACATAATCAGTGCAGCCCCGCAAGCTTCTGCACCCTACGTGGTTCTGGCGGATATGTTCTACAGGAAGGGTCTTCGTAAGCAGTCTCAAGAGGTATGCTTCAGGAAATTCATTTTTTTGATTAAATTTTTATATTTTTTGTCGAGTCCCCTTTTTATTAACTTTCGTTTCAATTATTGTAAGAAATTTCCACTTCATCACAATAGTGTACTCCAATTAATTGGGGGGGGGGTGAAAACAATGGCTGCTTTCGAGTCAAACATCCATTCCATCCCTTAAGTCAGGATTGAGCCTTCAGAAACTCCGTTTATGCATGTGGAGGGATGTACGTAGAGTAATCCACTAAGAATAACTAAAATCAATTAAACAGTTACAGTTGCCAACAATTGGAAATTAAATTGACTAGTTCAATCACATCTTCCATATTTTCCAGATCTCGAAACGCGTTTGAAGCTGAGAACCTCTTAAACGAGTATTTTACTTTAAAAATAGCAAGCCTTATTTTTCAAAAGGGAGATCGAAAGAGTTGCGGTTGTCGTAGAAAATTATAATATTTAGCGTTGTATTCGCAATTTAAAAATGAAAGACATTTTGATGCTAATTTTGAAGTGCGCGACTTTTCAGAACATGCTATTCGCAGCGGAACGAAATCCACGGGATCCTTCCCTCTGGATGAACTTGGCCGATTTCGCTGAGGATGATAACGATCTCAAGCAGGCTATTGTCTACGCTCGAAATGGCAAGTAACTTAGTTGTTCATTTATATGTGCATCCTGTTTATTTGCTCAAAGACAATGATATAATGAAGTTGAAATGACCGCCACACTAAGGAAAGTGCAGAAACAGTTGTCGTGGTAGATCTTTGAAATAATCGATGTAAGAAGTACTATGATTGGCAATTCACTCATCTTGACTTTTATTTACAAGTAACGGGTGTGTGGATTAAAATGAATGGTTGAATGGACATGAACCATTCACCTTGCAGATTGCTGTGTTATAATAGTTTGACTAGCTTTGAGCACTTGCTCTGAACACCATCTATTCACCAATGAGACACCATGTATTAGTAAACTGGGGGTTCATCAATATCCTTGGAGTCGGGAAGCTTAATAATTGATACAATTATGGTAAAATGATAACGAAGGGTTCACTCACCTTGAAGTTTATTTACAATGGTGGCTGTAACATAGATCAATATCTGCGGAAGTACTGTAGATCGATTAGTAGGGGCAGTTATTCTTACTCTCGGAACTAGTTCTAAGCCTCGTTATCATGATCCTCCAATCATCAGTGTCGAATGCCCAGCTGTAGTTCGAGAAATTGCCTATAGATAGTTGGTACGTGTGGTTTTACTGAAATGAGAGGTTATGTTATTCAATTGGATTTCACCTGATTTAACTCCAGTGGCCACTGCCTTGCCTGCCTTCTCTTGCTTTCATAAAGGTGGCATGGTCAACCCCCTCTGATTAAATCATTTAGTCCAATAAGCTTTGAATATCATGAATACGATCCCAACCACAAATCGATGAGTCACTTTAAGCAATTGGAAAATTTGACTATTCTAGAGGAAGCTATATTCGTTATGATGCCTCAAATTAATTATCTGCATTCTCTTACGCTCCCCCCTCACCCCCCCCCCTTTTCACATTTCACACTTACTGAGACTCATTTGCTATTCGCCTTAATTGAATGCTTTCTCTAGCAGCCAAAGTTATGTTTTTTGCTCTACATAGGTGCTTACGTTACTTACTGTTTTTGCAAACCATTTAGCTATGCGATGTTCACGAAACTACCCGGAAGCTCGTCACAGGCTGGTTAGTCTTCTAGTCGCCACTGGTCAGGAGAAAGAAGCCCTAAGAGTTCGACTTTCGGCTCTACTTAGCTTGGAGAATGTCGATCCTCGTAGGATTTACAACCAGATTGTTAAGATTGCGGAGGTACTTTCACCCCCTTCTCACAAAACCTTCGTTTTTTTTTATCTTGGTGACTGCATTGCTCAATCTTAAATTATCTTCCACTTCTAGGAGTTTGCTAGCCTTGGAGATAATAGTGGATGCATAAGGACCTACGAATTGGCTTTTGAAAAGCTCCCTGAAATCTGCCCTTCCAAAGATCAGCTTCGTGTTTTGGACTTATTTCAGGAGGACGATCGATCTGAAGAGGCTCTCAAGGTATGGGCGATTAATTTCTATGACAGTTTTCGATTAAACTGTCAACTTTTGGACATGCAATGAGGCCATTCTGTAGATCATACTAATTCATTGTGATCAGCTTACAATCTGTGTTCATCCAGTACAAGATGACGCAATTTAAGAAACACAATTTCTTATTAAAGTGCTATTATTGGGGCATGCAATGTACCAAGTGTTATTAGAAGTTGAATAATATGTCTTAACTTATTTCTTTTTTTAATAATTCGTTTTTAGTTCTTTCTAATGTACTGGGGTGTTTCCCTCATCTGTGAGAATGGTCAAATAGCCTCGCCTTATCGTGTTCCCTCAAACACCGCTGTTATGCAATCAATTCGCCGGTAAGTTTACAGTGCGTCTTCTATTTAGTCTGAGGTAGAGCTTGTAAGGGCCAGTTAGAGCGTATTTTCACAACTGAGTTGGAAAGTGTAGGTTTATGGCGGTGTTTATGGGTTTCCAAGATTTCTTCGATGAAAATAAGATAGTGTTGAGCGACAACCAGCCACATTAACTTTCCTTAACTTGGCAGATAAATCCTGTCCTGTACGTTGGGCATATAAATCATCTCGACCACTGAAACAATCGATAAACTACTTATATTACACTTACCAGGCATTTGACTAAGTTGGCTACTAGATTTTCGATAAGTCCATATGTGGAAGGTTGTATTCCTATCCAATCTTAATAAATACCATTCTAGGAGTATAATTTGCTAACAATTTTGGTGAGATCTGATAAGAGCCTTCTTAGAGTCAATTTTCGGTTAGAATCATTGCTTGGCTTAGCACATCTGTAGGCCCCTCCTCAAGTGTCTGAGTAAGCAGGTTTGCGGGGTGAGAAATACTGTGGAACTAGTTGCATTTTCCAGTTGCCACCAATTTTTTTCTGCTTATTTCAGGTGCGAGTTTTCCGAAGACATGAACGTTGCGGTTATGATCCGCTTCTTTATTCTCATGCTGAAATTCAATCTGGGTTCTGTTATTAAGGTAAATCCACTACTTCTCTGTCGGCCGAATATTTCCTTGGAATGAATGTTGTCCATTTTGTTCTTGTCTTTTTTTCCTTTTGTAGGACCAGATAAACTCGTTTATCGTCTCGGCCTCTTCAAAGGAATTCCGACGAAAGTACAATCTCTTTGTGGAGTTAACCAAGGCGTGCAAAAATGCAGGACTCTCAAATGAGGGATTAGTTATTGCCAAAAAGCTCATCTCAACTCCCAAAGTCAAACCGGTAAGTACCATTCCTTGCCTTTGCACTTTTTTCGGGTTGTGCAGTGATCCTCGTGCAACGCTCTTAGCTTAGAGACCACAGAAGCAATGCGAATCAGAGCCCATCAAGTGATGTTGGGTTGGGGAAGGGGGGGGGGGGGTTGGGGGTTGAACGGTTTGCAACAACGTTCTTTACTTGCGATCAAAAAGAGGATTTTTAAGGTTACGAGTTTTTTTACCAGAAGTGTCCAATAGAAGATGGGTTCTTTGAGTTTAATTTTCAATTACTTGACACTTTTTTAGTGGGCCTTTGTTAAATCTCCGTTTTTTTATCGTCTCAGAAACCAAAGGTATACTGCCTACTTGGTGATCTTCAAGTTGAGACCAACTTACACGAGGAGGCTCTTGCCACTTATCGTCACATAATCAATAAGCTTGACCCCCGCTGTACAGAGGCACGCCTATCACTCGGTAACCTCTTGCGTCGTCTTGGTGACGAGAAAGCCGCCTTGGAAGTGCTTGAACCGTCTCTGCTTGTGAGTACTCATGAGCCTGAAAGGGGTACAGATGGTGAAGAGGAAAAACAGGCATCTTCAGATGAAGAAGACGAATATGAAGAAAGCAGTGGCGACGGAGATTCATCTGATGATGGCCGTGATAATTGCGACTTTTCGGGTTCTGATGTTGAAAGCGTTGGGGACAATGGTTCAGAGGATTCAGATGCGGAAGCACAAGTTTCTGAAGTGATAGACGGAACAAGTCGGATTGTAAACACTTCATTAATGCTCTGTAATGACCCGAGTGCAATGCGTCTAGCCTTTGAACGTTGCAAACTTCTTGACAGTCCAAATACCATAAAACAGTTTCTTCAAGAGTCCTGTCGAGTGCTATTTGGCGATGTGATGCAGGTCTACTCGTGTGAACGACCTGGGCGTAAGTTTTGAAAACAATTGTACTTATTTAATTTCAGTAGAAATGAGTATTTAAATCTTTCGCTTCCGTATAGCTGCCGTGATGTTCCAATACTACCTCTGTAAACACCCCTCAGTTCGAGCGCTTGCTCACTTGGATGATCAAGCAGATCCGTCCCTCCGTGTGTCATCTGAAGACCTCTGGGCGAATTGTTGTTGCCGGGTGATGGAGATCTTGATTAAAAGAAAAGATTATGTAACCTTGGATCGATTTTTGGCCTGGGCATCTGTTCTTCCCTGGATTGTTGAAACTCCATACAGACGCAGAATAATTACACATCTCTACATTAGCAATGCCCTTCAGGTTGGGCATGGAGAAACGGCCATGGAAGCTATGAGACAGATTGAGAAAGAGGTAATGCTTGATTTTTATTTCATAAGCACTTTTCATTTATTGGTAGTTATTGAGTCAGAATCTGCCTGATTTTGATTGGTCAGCTATCTTATCATATTGTCTGTTGTAATCTGTTGATAATATTCAACAATCACCTCCATTTCATTTCGAATATTACGTTCATTTGGTCTAAATATTTTGGAGCCGGAGAATTTTACAGAGAGATTCTTTTTTTTAAATTTTGAGTTTTAGAAATTGTGGGCCATTTTTTGTGCTTCCCTTTATTTGCGCTTTATTCTGAAAATAAGTCATCTGAATGTTATTGTGAATTGGCTTTGAAGGCCCTGTTTATCCGTCCTCTGCTCTGTTTATATGCTGTGACCTTGACTTGCCAATTTACGATGCTGATCAACTTGTGATTTGTATGCATTAGGAAACGTACACTTCTACTAGCTGTCAAACCCAAATGTCTCCAGGCATTTTCTTGGCAAATAGCCACCATACATCCTCTGACTCGTTGGTTGAGAGAAAATTCTTTCAATATATTTTTGTTGTTGATATTTTTAGTTTTCTCATTTGAATCAATACTGGAACCTGCTTAATATTGCCTCTACCACTTCACGAGAACTTCGATTAACTCGGTTCCTACTCCGGCGCATCTCCAAGGTGAGAAGTGACTGTTCTCGTGCCACTGGGTCTTCTCTCTCCCACCTCATTTTGATTACACCCGTGCCTTTTTTATTCTCACTTTTAGGATGAGAACAATCTTGGCGCTTCGCTGATGAGCTGTGGTGACTGTATGGCCCGTGGATCTAGTCGTTATTCTATAGGTACATTCCTAGTTCACGTCAAACCAATTAAGCCTATAAAGAAAAAATGGCAGGCACCTTATAAAAAGATTTTTTTAAAATTGTTTTAGTGTCCTACCCAAAGTGCTAGGTCGTAAGTTGTATGAATTAGATCGCTCTTAAAATTACTATGATTGAACTTCAATTGGGTCTAATCCAATCGATGAAAGTTATTTTCTTAATCAAACGCAAGCCATATGGTAGTATCTTATCGTCACTATGCTGACTAAATTCGTCCCCACATTCTCTATAGACGGTCAAAATCATTAAATCATTTGAGAATTTACACCATCAAACACTAGTGTTCTTATCCACAATCATAACTCATTTAAAGACCTTTTCGTTAAGTGTCTTCTTCAAACTCTTTTTAGCTCTGATGGCAGATCTACGAGCCCGTTTCCCTGGTGATCCGCTCATCTCCCTTCTTCTGGCTGTGTGCTTCCTGAATATCTCCGTTCATAAGCACCTCTTTTCCCGCCACAAAACCGTGCTTCAGGTAAGATCCCATTGCCTTCCTCATGCTCGAAGCAAGCGTCAGGTTGTCGCTTCTACTGAACGACCATTGCGGTGCTATACACGCCTAATTTCTCTCAACCTTCTCTCATTCGTCGGATTTATCGCAGTTGTTTTGTTCACCCTTCACCCTGCCTGTAGCCTATAGCGTTTTAAGGGGAAGCACATCTCCGTCCTCCTCTTTGTCAAGGGCGAACTTCGGTCCCTTGTTCTGTACTTTGAAGTCCTATTTTTCGAAAGTGCGTCGTTGCTGTTCAACTTGATCAAACACCATCAGTCTCTAGCATAACTTAGTTTACCTCCCAGGGTAACACAGTAGTATATTTCGGTTAAAGTCGTTAGGACTCACTAATAAAACCAGAGAGTGGTTACGTGGACACAGTTTCTCTTATTAAGAGGATGAAAATAGTGATCCATCTGGGCTTTGTGGAATTAATTAACCTGGGAGGGGGGGGGGGAGTGTAACAGCTGCAAGACTCCACCTTAGTGTTTCATGATCATTTTCCAGTGTATTAACCCTTAAACACCCCTAAGACCTTATTGTCTTCCTTCCAAATAAGCTCCATTGGTAAGAGACTCGTATTAGAAGGTACTATTGCGGTTTGAAATATGTTCAATACCTCTCCTCACGTCGGTGGCATCGGTATGCTGAGAGACTCATAAGTGCGGTTGGGTGAATGTTACAAAAGTTAATTTGGTCGTTAAAGGGTTACAAGCAACCTGTCGATTATTTACTTGAATTACATTAAAACGTGTAATCTGTCAATTTTAGTGCATTGGATTTCTGGGTGAGTACAGACAACTACGCGGGGAGTGTCAGGAGGTCTACTTCAATATTGCACGCGCTTGTCACCAATGCAGTAGGTTTGCTTTGAGTTGGAGCGTTTGATGCACTCATTCACGATCTACGCTATTCTCTGACTGAATTTGCTCCCTTTTAGTGCTGGGCCACATTGCCATTCCCTACTACGAGAAAGTTCTCGAAATGGAACCAATTGGCTCCACTGAGCAGGAGAAACGCGTAAGCATTCAATTATTTCCTAGTCTGTAATCAAAGATAACTCATCTAATTCTCTGGTTGAGCAAGTTACATACAACCTGTGGCAAGTAGGAATGCAATTCAAAAATGGTGATTGATTTTTGTGACTCACTTAAAATCCTAAGTACCATGATTACGTGTTAAGGTAAATGATTAAAGAATTTACTGATTACGTGACAAATTAAGTGGTCTGTTTGATAGAATGGGAACGCGTAGGTGGAATCAATTGATGTTTATACCTTTACCAAGTGTTCTTGCACCTTTTTCATCCAACTGATTGCTCAATAGGCGCCAATTACTTTGTCACATGGCACTTGCTATCTAATAGGTTACTGTGTGTTTACTTTCTCTCTATCTATCTCACTCGTTTTCAGATGATGGATTTGAAGATGGAGGCAGCGTATAATCTGCAGTTATTGTACCAACAGAATCGAAATCCAACTATGGCGAGGTATATCATGCAGAAGTACATGGTTATTGATTGAACCGCCTCACTTCTATCCCCATCCCACCCTTCCTCCCTCCTTCATCAACTTTGTACATAGAGGGTGACCTTGTATATAGAGTATACTTTTGCTATATTCGTTTTTTTCTTGTTTTCTTTATAATCAAACAATTTTAAGAAGTTTTATTGAGGTTAGTGAGGTCTTATTACCTTTCACTGGAGAATGAAAGAGGGCTTAGATAAGACACGGTCAAGTGAATTAACAATAAAGCGCTGTTGTTATATATCATGGTATTAAAGAGTTAATAATAGTAGATCAGCGGAAATCTTGATCGATCGATCAGTTTGAGGAAAGTTGCACCCTCACGCCACTCCGCTCCAATGCACTCACAGTTGCGAAAGTTTTATGCACTTCGAGAGACGATCTGGTATACATGTACTATACGAAAGCTCTTTCTAAATTATTTTTGCAGGAATATGAGCATTCGAGTACAATGACACTCCTTAAAGATGCCAATGAAGCTCTCAGTGATTTCTAAAGTAATCGAGTAATAATTATGAATCCTTGAAGTTCCCAAAACCATTATGGTGTCCAATCACATAGCAGAATGTAGAGTGGATAGGGTTCACCTCGTCCTTTGACCACAAAGCCAAAATTGATTAATTTGAATATAGGTGATGCTACGCTTGGATGATGTGAGCATTGTTTTGTGGTTGATTGGGAAAGATCTACGCACATACACCCGCATTTGTCCTCTACGCGATTAGTAGCGATTTGGAGTGACCGTCTTAAGGCCTTAACTTCTACCATCGAAAAGAGCGTGGAATTGGAAAGGGGGGTATGTTTGGGGTCCGAGAAAGCCGACATTTCAATGCTAACTAGCTGCCAGACAGTTCTTCAGTAATTATACTGCTTGATAATACCTAAAATATGAGCAAGTTCAATGCGTTCTCCGACCAATTGAAGTTGATAAAATCTCCCAAACACCTTTTCTAATACTCGCTCTACTGAGAAGCATGATATACGAAAGATTTGAACAAAACAAAATGATTACATTCATGATAAATTTATGTTTTAAAACATATATAGTAGAGAGAGAGAGAGAGATCGATTTCAACCAATTTTTGGAACCTTAGAAAATGGTGTAACGCAGTCGGAACCAGAAGATTGTTATATATCATTCCAAGTCTCTTTACCCTATCGAAATTGATGATAATGTCCAAATTATTACACTTTTAAATAACTCCCAAATAATTCGTTTCCTCAGCACAGCTGTCTTAGCCCAAGCAAATCTTTTGATCAGTAACCATTTAGTTACCTCATTTTCACATACCAAACGGGTCGTATGACCATCGTTTTAACATTTAAGATAAACAATCAAAAACTAGTACGTGTCCCATGACTAATGTGGCCTATAAATTCAGCCTTCGATTCACCGGATAGCACTACATGCGTGTAGACAATGGTCCATTCACTCTGGTCACAATTAGGGTACCTTCTCGCCACTGCTTTAGTGGTCTCCAGTTTGGAGCTCACTTTAGAACCCAACGAACTTGTAAGTCTACTGAATAATCGGATTTGAGTAGTGCATACCTAGTTTTAACCAAGGAGGCATATCATTTGCAGGTTAAAGCACAACGCGAAAGCTCAGGAAAATTTTTCTACTATGATTCGATTGCCGAAACTATAATGCTCAATCGTAGCTTGCTTGTATACAGACAAGAAAATTACGGTGATTGGTCAGACTGGAGCTCTTGTTCACCCCATACCTGCTTACAGCATCGATATAGACGTTGTAAAGATGATTCTTACAAAAAGACTATAAACTACCCAAACACAAATAGGCGAATTTGTCGATTCAAATACTTGGTCGAAGAAAGAGACTGTGAAGACAAATCTACTTGCCTTGCCAATGGTAAGCTGAAATTGAGATTTATCGGCTCTGAAATGATTTAGAAGTAATGTTTTCATTTGTTATCAATTAGCAAAACCATCAGAAGAACTTGGGAGAATGGACTCTATCTGTGGTATTCGTGCTTCCA